CATAAGGCCGACTGTTCACTCTGAACTGCTCGTCTTATGAAATTTGAAGCACAATTTAAATCTGTTCAATGCAAGACAAGTTTCCTGAGCTTGCCAAGAACTGCTGTGGAGGCCGGGCGTGGTGGCTCACGCGCCTGTCATCCCAGCACTGTGGGAGGCCGAGGCGGGAGGATCGCTCAAGGTCAGGAGTTCGAGACCAGCTCTGATGCAAGAGCGAGACCCCTGTCTCTACTAAAAATAGAAAATAGCTGGACAACTAAAAATATATGGAAAAAAAATAGAAAGAAAATAGCTGGACAACTAAAAATATATGAAAAAAATACAAAGAAATAGCTGGACAACTAAAAATATATGAAAAAAATACAAAGAAAATAGCTGACAACTAAAATATGTGGAAAAAAAATAGAAAGAAAATAGCTGGACAACTAAAAATATATGGAGAAAGTTAGCCCGGCATGGTGGTGGCGCACGCCTGTAGTCCCAGCTACTCGGGAGGAGGCTGAGGCGGGAGGATCGCTTGAGCCCAGGAGTTGGAGGTTGCTGTGAGCGAGGCTGACGCCACGGCACTCACTCTAGCCTGGGGCAACAGAGTGAGACTCTGTCTCAAAAAAATAAAAAGAGTTGAAGGAGGTGGGATGTGAGCCATGCAGGCCTGTGAGAGAAGGGGCGCAGTGCAAAGGCCCTGGGGTAGGGTAATTCCTGACATTACGCAAGAATAGCAAGAGGGCTATGTGGCTAGAATGGGGTCCACTCCAGAGAGCAGAAGACAGGCCAGGGAGGCGTGGGTGCAGGGATGGGGACAAACGGGCAAGGCCTTCGGGCTATTTTAAGGCTTCGTTGGAGGCGCAGGGCACTGTCCCGCGCTGGAATCGCCCGGTCTCCGGTAACCTCCCTTGCCCGCTGGCGGGGCGCCCGCGCCTCCTCTCCCCGTGGGCGTCCGGGGCGCACCGGCTGGTCCCCGCTAGCCTGGTGTGCGGCCCGCGCCTCCCCTCCCGGTGGGCGTCCCGGGCGCACCGCTCCTCCCCTCCCCGTGGGCGTCCGGGGCGCACCGGCTGGTCCCCGCTAGCCTGGTGTGCGGCCCGCGCCTCCTCTCCCCGTGGGCGTCCGGGGCGCACCGGCTGGTCCCCGCTGTCCTGCTGTGCGGCCCGCGCCTCCCCTCCCCGTGGGCGTCCGGGGCGCCCCGCTCCGGTCCCCGCTGTCCTGCTGTGCGGCCCGCGCTTCCCCTCCCCGTGGGCGTCCGGGGCGCACCGCTCCATTCCCAGCTAGCCTGGTGTGCGGCCCGCGCCTCCTGTCCCAGTGGGCGTCCGGGGCGCACCGCTAGGGTCCCCACTGTCCTGCTGTGCGGCCCGCGCCTCCCCTCCCCGTGGGCGTCCGGGGCGCACCGCTCCGTCCCCGCTGTCCTGCTGTGCGGCCCGCGCCTCCCCTCCCCGTGGGCGTCCGGGGCGCCCCACTCCGTCCCCGCTGTCCTGCTGTGCGGCCCGCGCCTCCCCTCCCCGTTGGCGTCCGGGGCGCACCGCGCCTCCCCTCCCCGTGGGCGTCCGGGGCGCACCGGTAGGGTCCCCGCTGTCCTGCTGTGCGGCCCGCGCCTCCCCTCCCCGTGGGCGTCCGGGGCGCACCGGCGGGTGCGGACACCTGCCCGGAGCGCGGCGCCCGGGCGCGCGGGGACACGCATGGCGGAGGTGGGACCGCGGGCCGGCCCGGGTGCGGGGGCCGAGGCGCTGGCGCTGGCCGCAGAGCTGCAGGGCGAGGCGACGTGCTCCATCTGCCTGGAGCTCTTCCGCGAGCCGGTGTCGGCCGAGTGCGGCCACAGCTTCTGCCGCGCCTGCATCGCGCGCTGCTGGGAGCGCCCTGGCGCCGGGGCCTCCGCGCCCCGCGGCCCGCCCTGTGCGAGGATGATAGGCTTTCAACCACGCGCGCCTTCCCTTGATATTCATATTAAGTGGGAACATAAATACTATAAAGAGC